CCCCCCTCCCGGGAGCAGGTCTGGCAGTGGCAGGCGCAGCCCAGCTTGGCACCGGCTCAGCTGCGGGCACAAGCGGGCCCAAGTGAGCATGGGCCCTGTGGGCGGCAAGACATCTGCTGGGGGCACTTGTGTGGGGCAGACACGTGATGGAGCGAGTGCCCAGGTGAGCAGGGCCTGGACCAGGGCCGCGGGCCCAGCACAGCAGCTCCCAGCTGCCCCAAAGGCACCTGGCCCGGCTCTCGTCGCCGCGCGCCAGCCTGCCCACCCCGCCTGCAAACGCTGCTGGCTGCCACTCAGCTGAGGCTTCCCTGCTGCAATCAATCAGCTCTGCAGAGAGCGGCTGCAGCATCCGCGGCGCTGGGCTCCGCGCCACCTCCGCCGGGAACTGATGGCTGCACTCATCAGATTTCATCCCGGGCAGGACGCAGCAGCGCAGTGACCGATGGGCCCTGCCAGCACCTGCCTCTGGGGGCTGCAGGGGAAATGCAGATGCTCTCCGCCCCCACCCACCCCCGCTGCTGCTGGCGCGCTGGCTCTGCCTGGAAGCGGAGGCCACGCTGCCAAGTGCTCCTGGGGGGGCAGAGCCGGGCTCTGCAGCGCAGCCTGCACCATGGCAGAGGCCCAGGGCAGGAATGCAGCAGCCCGGCGGCTGGGCGTTCCCTCTGCCTCCCACTCCCACCCCTCGCCCACACCCTGCCCTGCCCTGTCCTGCACCGCTCGCGAGGCAGCCGCGGGGTCATGCTGGCCATGCCGGGAGCAGAGTCGCGGCTCCCCCTGCGCTCTCCCCCAGTCTTCAGGGCAGCCTTCCTGCCCGGGGCCATCGCCCCACTGCAGCAGCCCCAGCCCCAGCCCCAGCCCTGGAGATGTGTGACCGAGGGCCGGGGCAGCGGCCAAGCCAGGTCGCTGCCTGCCTCCTTGCAGCTCGCAGCTGCAGCTTGGGGAGCTCCTCCGTGCCCAGGCAGGGCCCCGCTGGCAGCTCCCCACGAGGACGCCCATGCTGGACCGGCACAGTGACATGGAGCCAGCCTGCCCCGGGGCTAGGAAGGGCCTCGTCCACAGGCAGCGCAGCCCAGCACAGCCAGGCCGGGGCGAGCCCCGTTGCAGGCTGGAGCCCTGGTGCAGCAGGTGCATTGCAGGTTCCTGGGGGCCCTCGCGCCCTCTGCCGGGCACCGCGCCCCATAACAAGCCAGCCAGGGGCAGGGTGCCCAGCTGGGCTGCGTGGCATCGAAACCAGGCCCGGCCTCGACTTCTCGCTTCCCTGCTGCTGGGTGAGCGTGGGGCCCTTGGAGAGGGCTGGGGGCAGAGGCACCTGCTGCCCCCAGACCTGCGCCCAGGCCACATCCCCGACGCTGCGCTGACAGCCACAGGCTACAGGACACAGGCGGTGTCCCTGCTGACACCCACTGGCGCCCATGGCAGGCACAGAGGCCCTGCTGCTTTCCAGCAGGCAAGGAGTTAACTGCAGGCCCAGACCTAGCACAGGTGGGTGCCACAGCCTGGGGCTGACGCACCTTGCAAGAGGGGCCTCTGCAGCTAAGGTGGGCTCAGACCCCAGGGGCTGGCCCATGCGGGGGGCGGGGGGCGGGGGGCAG